AGCGACATTGTCGCGCCAGCCTGCCCTCGCTCCTAGCTGAGTCTCATATGGCGAGCGTGGCTTGCATTGGAGAAGGTGAAAAGCCGGTGCAAAGCAGACGATGCGACGGAACTGATGGCATCAGCACTTCTCCGGCAATCACCGGTCGGTCGGTTCCTGCGCCGGATTTCGAAAGTGGGAAACCTAGCCAAGCTAGGTAACTTCGGCCCGCGCCCCCGAGCCGGAGTCTCCCTCGGTTTTTACATACGGCTCGCCCCATCGCTCCACGTAGTACGGCCTCTTCCTCTTCTTTCCTTTCCATACACCTCTTCCCTTTACACCTTTCATGGCTATGCATGTACTACCTACGCCGTACTCGTCGTAGCACACACTCCCCAATCTCATCTCAGCTCGCTCACCCCTCAGCCTACGACTTGGCCGACCGAACCCCCCTCGACTCCGACTAGCCCGGCGCGGCTTTCTGATGCAAACCGCAAATGAAAGGGGCGCGCGCGAGATACGCGCTCAAACCCTCTGCCCACCCGTACCGTGGCCGGCGCGCCCACACGCCCCCCTCGCGGCCCGTCCCGCGTCTGATCCCAACGGCCGCTCTTTCTTCCTCTCCCCCCCTTCCACTTCTTCTTGTCTTTCTTTTTTCTTGCATTCTACTCTCGCGTTCATCTCAGCCCTCTCGTCCGTATCTCCCTTCTTCCCAAAAATTTGCGTACAGACTACACTTCGCCGCCGCGGCCGAAAGAGGGTAGATGAAGTCCTACAGAAAAACGTGGTGCCCGATCTTGGGAAGTTTGGGTGGCCCTGTCAGAAGTCGGAATGCGATGATGCGTGCAGGCCGCAAAGCCCACAGCCACCCAGCGCCGCATTTACGTCCCCTTTCGGCGTCCCCCGCGTTCAGACACACGTCGTTGTTCTGCTTTGGTTCTCGCGTCGTTACGAGCTTCTGTCCATCTGGCTTTCATCTTTCATTCGGACGGTGTTGGTCTTCTATTATGTACTATGCACTGCTGCGCGCGTAGGAGAAGAATGGCAACGCTCGAGCGCGCGCGCAGAGAAACGACGACGAATTTCTTCTGAATCTGCTTCTGAGGCATTCAAACTCCGCGGCGCTGTACATTCGAGTCACGCCCAGCCTGACAACCCATACAGTCCCAGTCCCCGCAATATCCCGGCCTACAACGCGCGGGCGGCAGACTAATACCCACATATGCATCTGTCGGCCTTGCATGCGCAGGCCCAGCGCCTATATCGTCTTCTGTATTCCGTTTGATCCTTCGAGCTCTTAGTTGACGCCGACCGTTCAGGAGGAAGCCATACCGCAGAGGCAACTCCGGTTCCTAGTGCGTCGCATTCGCATCAGCAGGAACAGTCCGAAGAGACTCGCAGCACTCGTTAGCGGATGGGACTGGTACTGTGGATGGTTGCGTATCATGGGGCCTACTTGAACAGGGCCACATTTGTGCTCGGCGCACACGCTTGATCGGCATGGCATGGCTGTATGCGCTCTCTTCTCATACCAACTTGACCTTCTGCTCAGGCGTTCTCTAGGCGACCCCTACCGCTAGCGCCGAGCTGAGGGCTCGTACTGCGCTTTGTTCTCAGTGCGTCTTCCCCGCATTCAGTGCTGAAGGTCGGATGATCGGCCTGGCGTTGAAAACGAGGTGCTTTGTATGCGCCCCTCTTTGCGCCCCGCATCCAAAGGGCTTCTCGTATGTAGTGAACGTGCTGTTTTGCTATCTTATCTCAAGCTTCATGCATCATGTTTGGAGAGCGTGCATGATCGCCTCGCATGACCGGGATATGAGGGGATATGGCGCTTCTCAAGTCGCCACAAGACCCGATACAACCGCCAAGCACGTTCTCGCACTTGCACAGCTCGCGTACCCCGGCGCCTACATCGGGACGCTAACGTGGTTATTGCGCGTCCGAGTCTTAGCTCCTTCAGGGTGTGAGCGTACGCCCCTCCTCTAGAGATGTCTTCTGGAGTAAAGGCGCCGCTCGTCGCGATCGTGTGTTGTGGCACTTGACTTCACGAGTATTGGCACAAGGTCATTGTGAAGATAAGTCCTCGCTTCTGTATAGTACGAATACGCTCTCACTTGACCTATTTACCAGCTTCTAGTCGCTTTTTCGATACCGTATACACGACGGCCGAGATAGCACCTGAACCTCTATAGTACCCTTCCAACCGACCCCACCCTCGTTCCTCCACCAAGCCGTTCTCGAAATCTATACAAACCGCGAGAGCTGAGTCCGGTATAGCAGGTCTCTGTGGGCGCCTTTCGAAGCCCGCATCTGGGAGACGCGCCCGATCAGCTGAGTCGCGTTATTCCATACGCGTTGGGTTGAGTCGCACTCTTGCTCTGGTTGCCGCTCTAGAGCGAGTTGTGCTTTGCTGCGGGCGCGTGAGGACTAAAGCCCCTCAGCGCGCGAGTATTCCGCCTTCTTCCTACCGCGCCACCCCCGTTCCTCCAAGAATTCTCTCATACCAGAGCCACAGGCGGCTCTCAGACAGGTCCTCTACGATGGAACAGGCACCGGCGGCTGTCCTTTGTCGCGTTATGCCATACCGGGAGTGGTCTACAGGATCTGAAGCTCCGGACTCTGGGCTTAGCTTTCGAGCGCGACGTTCTGGCATCTACATACAGCTCCTCAAGCTCTAGAGCACGCGCCACAAAGCCGATCATTGGAGCCCTTGAAGATGAGTGGAGTCCTGGTGCCGGAGCTAGCTCGTGCGTCTACAGGCATGTCGCGCCACAGCGCTTGCTCGTGTCTCGGCGTCGACTGTGGAGGAGCGGCGCTTTGTGGCCCTGCGAGAGTCAATATGGCTTGTATCTCCTGACTTGGCCGACTTCAACGACGGCTTCTAGGCCACTATCACATCTAATGCTTCTGTCGAACTGTTCTAAGGGGGCGCCTTTGTCTGCTCTTCGTCTCGGAACAACCAAGGCGTCGTACTAGAGCTCGGGACTCCGTCTGTAACGCGTATACAGGACCTCACTGCGACCTCGGCCTCGACTTATCGCAGACGCTCTCAGATCGCACAACCGTCACACAATCCTTTGTGGTCCTATGATCGAAGCTCAAGCGCTTTACGACAACCTGTGTCCGACAACTCCTCTCGACCAACCACGCTCGCTCCCTTAGTCGTCCCCGCGCCCTTCGTACCGCCACCCGTGACCGCATTTACAACGTCCCTCGCACAAACGTCTTCATCTCACTGATGATGCGCTTCTCTTCTCTTGTAAAATGAAAGACTTCTAGCCTTCTAACCGAACGTGTTGGGCTGTTACCCATGCCCATGCCCTAGCTCAGCTCTGGGACTCGAGATAAGATACCACTTCGTTCCGAGCCCGAATCCATCTCGCCGCTCGCCTGACCGCCTCGTGCGTACGCTGAGTCCACCCGGGCGCAGCGCCGGGCTCCCGAGTCCCATCTCTTTCTCGAATCAGAACCACCAAGCCGCGCCACGGACGGCCAGCACACACCAATCACTACTCGTGCCCGCTGCACAGACGACGAGAACAAGGGCACTGCGCCACCGCTGTTCTGCTGCACTTCTGCTTCTCAAACCCGTGGATCTCGCGTTCTCTTTTCCCACCCAAGCCCAAGACGGCATCATACTACCCGCAACCGGACGTACCTCTTACCGTCCTAGGACGCGGACTGAATGGAACGCACTAGCGAGGAAGAACCGGGGCATGCGCAACTGTTCGCACTGCCAGCCGGACCGCGTCCGCGGCGCAAACGCCGAGCATCGTCGCGAAATCAAGCACGCGCCCACAAACGCCTCCGCGGACCCTCGCGCTCCCGCGCGCCGCCCCCTCACCACGATCCCCAGATCCAGCGTCCGCCGCGTCAAAATCTAATCACCTCGATCCGGACATTCGAGCGTCGGTGCGACCCTGAGCATCGTGCGCCCAATGTACCGCGCGAGATTAGGTGTTCGGGATCGGCGAGATACAGTGCGTTGCGCTGTGGGTCCGTCCCTTGTCTGTCGCGCCGCCGCGGCACCCGCCTCGCCTCGCGCGCACCACGCCCCGCGCCCTCGAGCCCTCGCGCCCTCCGGCCCGCCCTGTGCATTACTGTAACCTTCGCGCCGCACTTGACCGACGCATCTAAACTGTGCATCTGCATCTACATCTGCCTATCTGACCTACAGCCGCCAGGGCGGCCGTCTCTTGTTCGCCACCGCCTCGTGTGCGCCTCGTGCCCGCCGCCCTCCTCCCGATATCCGCCCCTCCTCGATCGCTCTCCTCGGCGCTGTCAGAGGTCATGTCTACGTGCTTATGCGTATGCTCCTTATCGATGGAGGATCGCGATAGCATGTTTCCTGTGTAGGAAGGCGGCTCGCGCGCTCAGGGGCATGTGGCCCGTACTTTCGAAGTCCGCTTCGGGTCTTACAGTTGTTTGGTAGACTTGTATGTGGCCGGGCAGGGCGCGGGCATATCTGGGTGGATACATGGCGAGCTCGAGTCAGCTATGGCGTCTGGGCAGAGGGTTGTGGCCCCGGATGATTAGGATTGGGCTCCGCGGCGTCCTCTTGGAATGCAGCCGGGGTGGAAGTGGAGGAATGATATGGCAGGTACGGACGTATGTGCGGTGAACTCGGCGGGCGCGGAGCAGGTATTACGCGTACTCGTTCTACTGTGCTTCTCTTTACTATTTCAAAAGAAGCGATCGAAGGAAGAGAGATGTACAAACTCCGCCTCTGAGACCAATTGCGAGAAGAGTAAGTTACTTGAAGCAAGTGTTCAGGCTGAAGGGCATGGCAAAGAGGTTGAGGACAAGCTCTTGCCGCTTGTAGCGGTACCCCCTGAGCGTGTGCGTACAGCAATTATCCGCAGAGTCGTGCTCGCAGCAGTACCGCGCGGCGAGCACGCTGTCGTCACCGGACGCCTCCTTGCGCCGTACGTACAATCAACCTTCTACGCATCGGACTTCCCGTCCTTCCGGAAGAGGCATGCGCTGTGCTTGTACGTGCTTGCAGGCTTCAGCACTTCTCGTATCGGAAGAGAGCGTGCGTGTACGTCTTTACGCGCAGATTCCCGAACGACATCGACAGTTTTCATGCGAGACCCGACCGACTTCACCGCTCGGTGTACCTTGATTAGCTTCTCGCATCTCACGAGGAGTTGGCGTATTGCGTATCGAATTCAGTTGTTGGCCTATAGACGATTCAGCTCGTCAATCCTAACCACCTCACCGCCGTGCTCGTGGCCTCGTGTCGATCGGGATTGCCGCATGACCCGAATTCTTCTGCTGTGTTCGCAAAGTGCCGACGACAATGCATGCTCATCAGAATGCTCGCAACGGAGACGTCGGTATCGGAAGATAACGTGTATTGATCCCCGCGCCCGCGCGGGATGGAGATGGAGTTGTTCAGCTGGCCTTCATCCGAAGCTACACGAGGTAGATATCAATGTCAACGCGACACCGGAAGAGAATGCAGGCCATTCGGGTGTGGAAACACGGTAGATAGAATGTAAGTGGCAATATCGCACCGTATACACAATGACGGACCCTGCTCGAGATATCCGTACGTCAGCTCTCAGGGGCAGACTTAGGTGCACGGGAACGTGTGTTGCGCACAGTCTATCTGAGGCATTCAGCAATCACGATCCAAGGGCATAACAGAGGCAATATCAGTCTATCAGAGACGTCCGTATAGCCACAGCATAAATTCGCAGCAAGTTGATTCGACTCGTCGCAAGGAGTGCATATGCAGCTCTAGTTTATCCCCCTGGGCGTGCGCGCCCGAGCACGGCCGCCCCGAACTAGGGATGATCTCGAAAACAAAGCCGCTTGCCAAAGAAGGTCATCCTGTCGCGCGAGCAGGTATACTGATCGGAGAACGGCAAACCCCTTGCAAGGTTTGTAGGACTTCACGACACAAGAGTGCGCGCGCCAACGAATCACCCGTATGTTTACGGTGTGCGCTCTCGCATAGATCTGCCCTAATGCGGGAGCACTCGACGTAAATTGAACCACTCAGCATATAGGATATATCGCTCCATGCATCAGAGCAAACACCCGTCACGGACTGAGAGTCCGGTGGACGTATAGGGTGCCGAATATACGAGTAGAATCTTGCGCGTCAGAGTAGCAGATGATGAGGGGACGCAGAGCTGTAAGAGACAGAATCACAAAATGTTCCGATCTGCTGTCACAGGCAGACTCAGTGGCGGAGTGGATATTGCATTACACGATATGAAGGACGAGGGCAAGTGGCGAGCGCGTCCGCCGCGCTTCATGACGCAGACTCGGATGCCGGCCCGAACCGACTGGGATTGCGCGCGCGGCATCGTCTGGTTGCCTCTTGCCGCCAGACGAGCACTTGCCTGTACGAGACCAACATGAACTTCAGAGTATAGCACTATTGCAGATGGTTTAACCTTCATGAGTCGCATACTCTATGCCATCTACCCATTATGCCGAGAAACCCGAGCTTCCTTCGCCACTTGAACATCCGACGCGCGCTCTCTACCACCACCACCGCATTGCGGAAACGTTCCCCCCTACTGCAGTCACAATTGACGCCCGGGTCAAAAGGGACTTATGCGGCTAGCCAGTCTGTGCTCCTCCGCCACCATCGCGCCCCGAGCAGAGCCGGTTCCCATTCAACCGCTGTTATTGAGCATTCGCGCCGCGCTTCCCCACCAATGCCACCTCATGGTTACACGTTCATACCCTCGTCGCTGGACGGGGTTGAAGACGCGGAGGACTACCAACCGGGTGGATTCCATCCCATAGCCATTGGCGACAGCTTCAGTCAGTCCCGCTACCGGGTGGTGCACAAATTAGGCTATGGTGGATCATCTACCGTATGGCTTGCACGCGACACATGCGACGGCGACCGACTCGTTGCCCTCAAGGCCATGCGTGCTGATGCGTCACCCAAACATACAGACGAGATTTTGTCTCTCTCCATTGCAGAACTGCTTCGTGCAGTCCCACCACTCTCAAGTCACATCCTACCCGTGGACGATCACTTCTTTGTGCAAGGCCCGAATGGCACCCACATGTTTCTTGTATCCCCCTTCGCCGGTCCAAATCTCCTTGCAATGTCAGATTGTCCAGGGCGAGTGATTGGTAGTAGGCGGTTGCGTGCGGATCTGGCGCGAAAGGTGGCAAAGCAGACCGCGATGGCGCTTTACTATATGCATAGTGCGGGCATAGTACACGGAGGTGAGGATTGGCTTCGTCTTCCGGGTCCACCTGCTGACGGAACGTTGAACAGATTTGACAACGTCGAACATCTTATTCCGCCTTTCGCCACAAGTGCGCACATGGTCGGACGCTGAGTTGTACAGGCACCTCGGGCGGCCTCAGACCGAGGAGTTGAGAACTTGGGACGGGACGCCACGACCCTCTGGCGCGCCCGCTGAACGTGTTGCTCCCATTGATAACCCCCGATGGACGGACGCGTCAATTCTTCAAGAGAGCATAGCCCTTGGCGACTTCGGCCAGTCATACGTTGTTGCATCTCCGCCGCCCGACTACGAACCCGCTACTGTGTTCAACTACATCTCGCCGGAAGCACGGTTTGAGGATCGTGCGGGCTTGGAGGCAGACGTATGGGCCTTAGGGTGCGCCATCTTCGAGATTCGTGCGGGCGCGGCGCTCTTCGAGACTTTCCTTCAAAGCGACCTAAGCGTGCTCATTGAGACCGTCTCGTTATTGGGGCGTCTCCCTGATCCATGGTGGGGCATGTTTACAGAGCGTTCTACTTGGTTCGGCGAAGACGGAGAGGCAAAGAGTGCGGAAGAACAAGAACGCGCGGGTGGTCTCCGGGCACGGAAGACCTCCATTCGCGAACAACTACGTCTAATCGGCGCGGGAGTTGATGCGCCATTGAGCAGCGACGGGCCGATGATAGAACAAACCGGTGTTAGGCTGCGAGAAGAAGAGGTTGATTTGCTTGGGGATCTGTTGGAGAAGATGTTGAAGTATCGCCCTGAGGATAGGATCAGGATAGACGAGGTGATCAATCACCCGTGGTTCAACTATGCGGGTTGACAGATTCCTCGACCTCATGGCTTCCGCTGTCCATGAATGTGCTTCTATATCCGACCTGCGAAGAATCTACATATTGGCGCTTGCATACCCGATCCCTGCCAGTTCCTGGATTCGCATGACATTGATAGTCATTCGACGATTTATCAGACCATGAAGCGCCAGTTCATTACATAGGAGCTTGAATTGTGTCTGGATGCATATGTGCAGTATGATACAGCGGGTTTAGTGAGGTATCGTGGAAGAGAAAGAGAAAGAGAAAGAGAAAGAGAAAGAGAAAGAGAAAGAGAAAGAGAAAGAGAGGAAAACGCGATCTGGACTCACTACGTCGTATACTAGGGTTAGGGTTGGCGGAAATGCGCGCCGCGCGACTCGAACAACGACGACACGGTTGACCTTGAGCTTTTCTCTCGTATATCGCCTACAGCACTGGGCCTGTTGAACGGGCTACGGTGTCACAAGATACCGTACACTCTGGCTATGCAAATGCGGATAAACCCGGAGTCCGGACCGAACGTCTGAAGCTCGCCGAGGTCGCCACAGCGCTCACCGGGCCCCGCGTGGGCGCCGCTAGAGGGTTGCATCGTACTATCATCACCATCTCCCCTTCCACACTTGCTTTTTGCCATCTCGGCTCTTCCTGCGTGGTAGCATGCTGCTCACTGAACTTCCTCTTGATGTTTTGGAGCTCGTCTGCAGCGATCTGGATGCCCACAGCGCTGTCGCGTGCGGGCTCGTATGCAGGCTGATGCATCGGGTCGTCACTTCATCGCTGCCTGTCCAGTACAACATCGGGCTGGCTATGCGTGGCATGCGCCAAGGGCTGAGCGAGGCAATCAGTCTTGCAGAGAGACTGAAGAACCTTGAGCGCCTCGAAGTGGCATGGCGCGAAGGCTCGTGGAAGGAGACTTTCAGGCATGAACTCCGCATTCCGACGCACTACGACCATGTATGCCACGCCGATGAATACGTTCTCACTTGGATACCTGAGGATGGGCAGGTGCACATCGTCCGTCTACCCTCTCCGCTTCGCGGGATCGCTCTTGAGGAGTATCGTTGGGAGTTCATCCCACCCGAGGACGTCGATCCTCGTCGCCGCATCATCACTTTGCTGGATCCACCGAATAATCTGGCGATGTTTGTCGTCACGACGTGGCATGGTCCTCAGGGTAATGATCAAAGGTATGCCACTCTGCTACTCCTCTGTGAATAGGACTCAGTCTCACGCTGTTTCGTGTCTCGCTCCTAAGGTTGGCTCTGCACCCTTTTGAGCTTTCGTCGGGAAACACGCCGGCAGCTATGTTGCCACATACCACTGTTGTTCTCCAAGAAAAGCGCTTCACGTACTGGAAACCCGTCCTACGCGGTGAATTGCTTCTCATGGAGCTCGATCAGTCCGATGAGTCTCAAGGTATCATGGTTTATAACTGGGTAACCCAGAAAAGGGTATTGCTGGTGAACGCGTTACCTGAGAGATTACTCGAAGATAGATACTGATGAGTTTTCGTAGGTCAGGCGTGCCATGTCGTTTGTCACGTTCTTGGACGACAATCGTATAATTGCCAGCTTCCTACGCAAAGTAAAGCTTCAGGGCGCGTATCCCCGTCTGCGCATCTACAATCTGTCCGAACTTGACACGGACGGACAAGCACGGGCGACTCACGACTTCGATCTACCACTCAGGTCTGATATCAAGCTGGAACCCGGCTGGTTCCGGATCGGACGAGAATGCGGTTACCCTGCATATGCTTCTGGGGGCTCCTACTTCTCTGACGACGATGAGGCGGTGGTCTACTTCTCCCCTTCGGTCATGATACGTAGAAAACGGTACACGCTGGAGATGTACCTATGGATGTCTGAGATAGGGCGCATCGCTGCAAGTCTGCCGGGATCACAGGACACGATTGTCATCCCGTGGAGTACTTGGGGACATGCCGCTAGACTTGCTTTGCAACCTAGCCAGACTACCCACGTCATGCCGGATGTGGTGGGGACCCGAGGGTACACGCTCTGCAAAGACGAAGCGCGATCATTCCATGTCTACGATCATCATCGCGCTCGCGTGCGCCGCGCGCGTTCTCAACCGTCCACCGATGCATTCACGATCAAACAGTACCCTCCCTTGGACTTGGCGGTTCTACGAGAGGGCGAGATACAGCCAGGCTCGCCGGCCATCCCTCTGTCGTCTGAGCACGTAGATCATCTGATCAAATTGCCTATCCCCAGCTCTTCTCCGCCGCCCTACGAGTTTGTCCTCTCGGGAGATGTTATCCTCGTTCGGGAGCAAACTGAAGTTCGTCCGTTCACTATCTCTGCTGTCGAAGTTGTAACTGACGATGTTTTGTGATCAAGAAGTATCACGGCCATACGAAGGCCATAGCGGCGTATTCGCTCGTGTAGCTGACTGAGACGAATTCTCTGTTCTCAAGAGTGTTGGTATGGCGTTCCATGTTTCAGTATTGTCACGTTAACCCTCGGTGCTCGGGTATCATTGTAGCTGCACTGTAGTTTCAAGTCATGGGTCCTCGGCTAAGTACCAGTTAATGACCGATATCATGTCGACCGTGATAGCTCACGTAGAGCGCTCAAATCTTGTAAGATCAAAGTGTATCAGTTTATAGCGGTAGGTGGAAGATTGAGGGACACGATGACCGCTGGTGCCCTTATCGCGTACTCGCTTGAATAGTCAGTGGAATGAACCCTTCCTGTATTACTATCACATAGTGAAATGGCATGTGATAATCAATCGATAATCGTGCTCCTACGCACGGAAGCCACATATAGTACAAACGATACACGGACAGACAGACGAAGGAACAAAGCCGACAGAGAAAGGAAGAACAGCATATACCAGCCAACAGAACATCGTCTACTCCACGCGCTGACGCTTGCTCCCCGTCTCCGCATTATCGTCCCCCTTCAAGCCCCTCAACAGCTCGAGCTCCGCCTCAGCCCTCGCCCTCTGCGCCCTCTCCTCCTCCCACATCCTCCTCATCTCATCAAGCTGGCTCTGCAGATCGCCCATAGCCTGGTCCATCAACAGCTTCTCCAGCGTCCACTTCTCGATATTCCGCGCCTCATTCTCCTTCAGATGGTGGATATACTGCACCGCGCGGCTGAGGATCGCGCCCTTGGCCTTCTCGCCGGACCCATTGGGCACGATCCGCCCGAGCTCGTTGATCCCGTCGTTGATGTTCCCGCGCCGGCGCCGCTCGACCTCCTTATGATTGTCCTTCCGCTGCCTTGCCCACTCCTCGCTCCCGACATTCGCCGCGCGCGCGCCGCGCCGGCCGCCCGAGCCCGTCGTCTGCGGCGCGGGCGCCATGCCGTCCTGGGACGTGTTGCCCTCCTCGTCGCCGACGCTTCCACCGTCATCGTGGTGCATCGGCGGCGGCGGGCCGCCCTCGTGCATCATCATGCCTGGGGGCGGGGGCATCGCGCCTGCGGGCATGAGGGGTGGGC